AGCCCGCCCAGCTGTAGCAAAGAAAAAGTATGCCTCATGGCCAAAACCACAAAGACAACCTGTGTTCAATAAGACTGCTATTTATTATTCATCCTCTGAAAGACTAAAGAATATGAAAATGTACTAAGCCACACCTGGAAAAGTCATGGCAAAGTGGCATGTCACAGCTCGATGGGAGCAATATAAAAGAGATCTGGAATCACATGTGTTAATCTAAATCACCCCATGTCAGGGCTGAGTACTTATCATATTCCCCAAGCAGTCACCCTTTACAATCCCATTTTCTCTAATAAAACTTTCCTAACAAAAACCTCATAATCATACACTTAAAATATACCCTCATTCATAAGCATCCTTCTTGCTGAGTGTATCACTGTATTTGTCCCTACTACTCTATCTTACATTTTTAAATCCTGGTATACCCTGGCTTATTTTACACACTCCCAGAATCTAATCACAAGCTTCAGAAGGTTACAGTAAGAAGCCCTATTTACTGACACTAACTAGCTTTCAAGAGAAATTCATATGAGGCCATGTTTTTAAATGAGAGCCTGTAAGAAAAGATCATAATCCAATTTAAGATAAATATGTAAATATTCAACATTTTTGTGCACAGAGAGCCCCCAAAACATCACTCAAAGTACCTGTCTACCTATAACCAGAAATAACAGGGGAAGCATTAGCAGAAGCTCCTGAAGTAGGTATTAAAGACCATATCCAGCTCCAATGTTCATGCTCAGCAGAATACTCTGACACTTATCAACATGTACTGGAACCTAGTACACTCTTAGCACAAAATTTCTCACTATCGTGATTTCAAGTATAAATTCATTATTACTACTGAAGATTTTGTTTGTTTTTTTTTTTTGCTTTTAAACAAAAGCAGCACCTTGTTATAAACTATTTCATAGCTGCCAAGACAATGAAGTTGTAGGGATCTGTTTTTCAGGGCAAAGAGACCTACATTAGGATTTATGGATTCACCATGCACTTGGGATCCCCATCCTATTTCTCCTTCAAGGCTACACTTTCAAAGAGGAGACAAATACCTAAGCACCAGTCATTTCTTCAGACGCTCTTGGGGAGATTAGGAAAATAACCACAACAAAAACTAGAGACAAGTGCTCCTGAGGGGCAGGCACTCAGCTTACAGGTGATCAGCAACTCATCACATGTGGTGGTCGAAGAACAAAGAACACTTGTATAAACAAGCAAATATCACCCGTAAAAATGCAAAATCCATAATCCTCATGATTATACCAAAGTTACAAGGCAGACTTTAAGAGGCTGAGTTGCCCCATAACGCAGACAGAAATGTAGGTTTCCTGTCAGCATGGAAGATGGTTCTATTTTCTACAGCTACTGATGCCCCAGTAAGCAGCCAGTGTCTCAGGAAGAAAAGGCCGCATTACCTGACACCCAAAGGCCCATGGCAAGACCTTGACATCACAGCAGATCTCTCTGGGAGCTCCAAAGGCATAGAACTATCTAGAAGGACCACAAGACCATTCCTTTTTCCGGGGCTCAGCTTCAGCCTTGGTGGAAAATCAGCCAAAGTAAAAAAGCATCCACTTTCCTAAGTTATGCGGTAGACAAAATGAGAAAACAATGGAACAACTGTTTTATTTGCTGAATTCTGACTAACAAATCAGCCACATCAGAAATCATTTTATAACTGAGAACCAAAGGAGGTAAACACTTTTGAGATCATCCAGAATTACCAAGGCAGAAAATCACTTTTATATACAGTCCTTCGTGTTCCAGAAACAGAAGAGTAAAACGAAGGAGTAACACATCCATGTCTCATTATAAGCAGGCGATCAAAACAGAACTGAATTTCACAGCTCCTATTTCATTCCAGACCCACATTCTTTCCTCTATGCCATCCTGACCACTAGGGTTACAAACATGCTTTAATACCCGAAAATCACACATGGCATCAATGATAGAATTCAACAGCCCCAGCCATACTGACCTTATTTCCACAGTGTACCATGGTACTTAGTTTACACCAATGTCACCTCCTCCACAGCAAATTATTATTTAAGAGCAATGCCAGCTGGACATGGTGGCACACACCTGTAATCCCAACACTTAGGAGGCTGAGGCAAGAGGATCACCAAGAGTTGAAGGCTGCCTATGCTACATAGTGAGTTCAAAGCCAGCCTGAACTACACAGTGAAACCTTGAAAAAAAAAAAAGAAAGAGAGAGAGAAAGAAAATATTGCCACAGACAGTATGATAGCTCAGGGAAGAAAGAGACCCTCAACATTCCTCTAAAGGCCAATACTTAACCCAAAAATGTTAATTCCCTACCCCCACACTATACCCCAGCACTAGAGATTGAACCCAAGGGGTACTCTACCATTAAGACACCCCTAGTCCTGCCAGGTGTGGTGGCACATGCCTATAATCCCAGCACTTGGGAGGCTGAGGCAGGAGGATCGCTGTGAATTAGAGACCAGCCTGGGCTACACAGTGAGTTCCAGGTCAGTCTCAATTACATAGTGAGACCCTGTTTCAAAAAAAACAAAAAGAAAGAAAAAAAAAGACACCCCTAGTCCTTTTTACTTTGAGGCATAGTAAAAAGTGAGGCATAGTCTCACTTAAATGACCCAAGCTGACATCTTCCTGTCTTAACTTCTTGAATAGCTGGGACTACAGGAACATGCCATCATGCCTAGCTCACAAACATCAATTTTCAAAGTAACTCATTCTCATCAATTCCTATAAGACTTTAAAGAACAAAATGATACTAAAACTAACACTTATTAAATGTAAGCCAATTAATGCAAGTGAAAACCAAGTCATAAGAGTAAGTACAGGAACTACATACAAGTCTTTAAATGGTTAAGTGAAACTCAAGTTTCCCATGGTTTGTAAAACTAAAGATGGGCTCACAGAGCCTTTTGTGGATATGAAGTTGAAGGAAACTGTCTGAACTCAGTGGAAGATTAGCCATTCAAAGTTTATTTTGGGCTTCTTAATTGGCGTGTTCCATGTCTTTGAAGAAAAGAATGTCTTAAATTATCCCTCAGTTTATAAAGGGGGAAATAAAATCTCTCAACTCCAAAACAGATCACAATGCTCCAGTGCCTGACCTCAGCTGACAAACTGTGTCTGTCTTCTCAGCTGGCCACTCTAAAACTCACCAGTACATAGTCACATTTCCAAATGCTGCTTGTTCTTGATGAAAGAATCAACTAAAAAGCTGTACAGATGAGAAGCAACTGACATTTACTTCAAACCCCCACCCCAAACTCATGTCGAGTATAGTTATAATAGGGTAGCATGGTGTTTGTCATTCAACAAATATTTTCTGCATAGAAGTAAAAGTAGAAATGTTCATTCCTTTTAAGCATTTTTTAGTGAGTAACACTGAAGAAATCTTCAATTTCATGAAAAGATTCTCCTTGAAAATTTTTTCAGCTGGGTGTAGTGACGCACGCTTGTAATGCCAGCACTTGGAAGGCCGAGGCAGGAGGATTGCCACAAGTTCGAGGCTCCCCTGGGCTACATAGTGAGTTCAAGATCAACCTGAACTACATAGTGAGATTCTGAGACTCTGTCTTATGAAAAGAGTCCCCTTCACCAATAAGAAAGTGCATTTAGCAACAGGAATCAAATTTGTTCCCAAAGGCATCCATCTCTACTTTCTTAGAAAGAGGTTTCAATTGTGTAGTATCACATTAATCCAGACACTAAAGTAAAACTTCGATGTTAAAACAAACTAAGCATGAGTATCTCTGACAGAAAACTACAAGGGAATTGGAAGTTTTCCTAAGGGAAAAACATCAAAGGATAATGGGCAACAATATTTTGACAGAAAGTCCACTTTACTGTGACCACTTGCACGTGAGACGTACCCCTACCCCATGCGGTCAGGTCTGCCTCCCTCCCACCCCACCCTATTCTCAAGCAGAGCGGAAACAGCTGGAAGGTGACTCATTGTCTGTATCATCGCTTAACACTCAGCCCTGAGACATCAGAGCTCAGGGCTCACAAACTCATTTCCTCCCAAACCAACTAGACAACTGTTTCTAGACCAATGATGGCAAACCTTTTAGGGCTTTCAGTGCTAACGCACAGCTGGCTGCGGTAAGCGTGCCATAGGTTCGCTTCCACTGTTCTAGGCTCTCCTCATAGCTTTTCAAAAAACATTTTTATTATTCACCATTCTGAGTTTTGTTAATGAAGTGCAGGTTCTGATCTGTACTACGCATTAACAGTCAGCCTGTGTCCTCCTCTTATTCCCAGCTTGGAGCAGGCTCTCTGAGAAGATAAAGAAAGGATTTGGAAGCCCTCTGAAGTCGGAGGTACACGCAGAACTATCTACAGTCAAAAACATTTTTTTCTACCACTTGTTAACACTGTTTAAAGGCTATGCTAACACTTATTCTTGTCCAGAACTGGAATCTGTATAGTTTTGGAATATTTTCTTGAGCTCTTGTACATTTACTACACAGAAACAAAAAAGTCTTAAGCCTCCTGCCTTCATTAAAAAAAAAACAAAAACTATCTTACAAGTGTCTACCCATTTAAAAATGCAAATGTTTTTTTAAAAATTCTGAAAAAAACACTTTTGTGTAAAGCAGATTACTACAAACCAAATCATACGATTCTTACACCTGTCTGTGCTCACACATCATTATAATAATCTTTTTCGAGGGCAAAGATGGGAAGGGGAAGTAAAAATGGTTAAGAAGCAATATGTAGATGTACCAGCTCCCTGAGCTGAATATAACTGTTATCATGGCAAAAATTTACTAATGAAAAAAGAAATTGTTTTCATCCACAAAGGACAGAGGTAACCACTGTCTTTCATGAGTCTGTTAAAGAAAAGCTGATGTGGTTGGGAAGGCACATGGAACTCCACCTCAGTTTTATCGGTCTAATAGTCTCTGCAAACACACAATTCTAAGAAAGCTGTCAATTGATTACAGAAAAAATATGGAGACTCCCAGAAGGTATCAAACAGAACAGGAGGCCCAATTACCCACCTTGTGCAGAGGGAGTACAAGGAAGGCTCCCCCTCCACTCGCTTCTATGATTATGGCAACAAATCTGGGATTGACAGCGCAAAAGGAACTATCCCAGGTCACGCGAGAAACCCGGATGTCATCGTAGCACTGGTCGTTTTTCACTGCTTGTCCAAATACATGCCGAAACTTGCTCTGTCGTACCACTCGCCGCATTGTGTCTGCAGAAGAGAAGAATTACATTAGAATTATGCACCTAACCAAAATATTTACTTTTACAAATAAAAAGCTCCAAGTTGAAAAAAAAAATCAGAACAGTATGGCATTTGTCTGCTCTTCTAAAAAGTAGCCAAAATGTAAATCCAAATTTCCTTTAGCAGCTCATACCCAGAGAAAACTTCAAGTGCGTCAGGGAAAAAATTACAAAGAAATGAAAAATCTCTCATTCAACATCCAAAATCAGCTCATCAAGTTTAATTTTAAGAGAAAGAGCAAAGCAAAGAATGAAAGAAAATTAACTTCTTTGGGTTGGGTGGGAACTGACAGATAATTCATTCCAACTTTGTCCTCTTTCAAAGATAAGAAAACTCCAAAGTGAAATTATCTGATACATATGAAGCTGAAGAAAGTGCAAAAACAAGTTATGATTTTGTGGCTTTCTCCTCAGCCTGCCAAGGTAATTTTTCACTTTTTAAACATTTTCCTCCGACATCAGCACTCTGCTCTTTGAGAGCTATGCCTGCTCCCCAGTGTTTCCACAAGACTAACTATGCACAGTAGGGAATTCAAGAGAAAGGAGCCACCACTCAGTCTTCAAGAATCTTCTAACCTCCTTTTAAAACAGGCATTCTTATCTGAGCAACTGAGCACCAAAGTGCGCGCTAAGTGGCACATGGGTAAAAACAGGAAAAACCAGCCCAAGGCCAACAGAGAATGGATCATGAGCCAGGACTTAGATAAAGGAGAGGTATTTAAATGAGTAAGAGGAATACAGTGATCAGAGCCATCCTTAGGATGACAGTAAGTCAGGCAGTAGCATATTAGAGGGATTAAACAAGAAGCTAAAAGCCAGGTATGAGGTCAGGAAGCGTGACAGTAAAATAATCTGGAATGATCTGGCAACTGGACAGAGGAAAGGAAAAATCCAAGGACTGTTCTGGAGGTGAAATGAGACCGGGGTGGGTTTTCACATCAGAGGTGATCGATCACAGCCACAAATCCAAGGGGCAGTGCAGGTGGCAGAGAGCTAACTAGGTTCCTGGGCTTCCTCACTGGCCACTTTCAACTCCAAACTCCACGAGGCCTCCCAACAGACGTGTGCACCGAACACTTTGTGCTTTAGGAGCACCAGGTCCCACCTGACTAAGTCTCCTAGATTGCACTTGGTGCAGTTTTCCTGCTACTGTAGGGAATTCTGTTCAAATTGGTTTTGAGAGAAGGAGCTTAGATAAAACCTAAGTGGAACTGGAACATGATCAAACCTCGACAACTCCACTGAAAACCAGATCTCCGTGCAAAGAAGTGAGCTAACACCTGTCCACTTGCGCCATTTGGGACCCACGGAGGGCTGTACTAATTCCTTCCCTCTAATTTCCTTCCTCATGGCCCTGAGCCCACTGCTAAATGCAGAGAGAATTTAGTTTTACCAGAGCCTCCTACCCTTCCAAAGCATGTGCTAAGTGGCCTCTCTCCAGTGCTGGGGCATGGGCATGCGGCTGGGCTAAGGCAACAGACCGTTGGCAGGCAACTGAGCACCCGTGTTCCTCAGCACAGCTGTTGCCAGAACTTTCCCGCTGACTAGAGGACCATATACACTGAATACTTAGCAAAGGAGATGGCAAATTATATGCTTACACTTAGCCAGTGCCTTCAGCTGTGACACAGAATGAATTCTTCTCAAGCACGATTTAGATAAGACAGCTTCCATGAGGTGGTGAAAACCAAAAGGATAGCCAAGGTACAGTCAGCTGCTCTCAGGATTCATCTCTCCACAACCATCTGTACAAGCTACAGACGCTGGAATCTCCACCAACATCTTACAGCAAATGTTTCAAAAATAAGTTAACAAGCTGGGCGTGGTGGCACGCGCCTGTAATCCCAGCAGTCAGGAGGCTGAGGCAGGAGGATTGCTGTGAGTTCGAGACCAGCCTGGGCTACATAGTAAGTTCCAGGTCAGTCTCAACTACATAGTGAGACCCTATCTCAAAAATAAAAATTTTTTTTAAAAAACAAGTTAACAGCCAGGCCACAGTGGTACAGGCCTATTGTCTAGCTACTTGAGAGGCTGAGGATCATGTGAGCCCAGGAGTTTGAGACAAACCTGGGCAACATAGTTAAGACCCAGTTTCAAATATATAAGTAAGTTAACATAAAAGAAAAAAAAATGCACTATATCACAGAGTCAACATCCTTCAAATGGGTAAGGTGGCACCTGCCTATATCCCAGCACTCTGGGAAGCTAACGCAGGAGGATAACATGTTGGAGCCAGTCTGACAACTTAAATGACATAGCAAGACCCTTTCACAAAAAATAAAAAGTGCAAAGGATCTGGGTTCAATCCCTAGTGCTATTTAAAACATGTGTGTGTACACACACACACACACACACACACACACACACACACACAAATACATACATAAACGTGAAAGTTTCATTCATATATATATCTGTATGTATGCATAAAGTTCTTACAAATTCATATAACTAAATAAAACCTAAGAAAAAATTAGGCAAAAGCCACGAAGAGGTAATTTACAAAAGAAATATAAATGCCATTTATCATCATTTCGTCCCTGAAATTCTAACAGTAACAGTAAAGTAATAAATGCAGATACAAATACCTATGGATAAGAGAATGGGAAAGGGACTTGAATGAGGCAAAGGCGACCACTAAATCTTGGAAGATGGAAAGCTGTGACGCACGTGAAACTGCCCGTGTGAGTGCCCTCCACTCACATCTCAGAAGTGCAGAAGAACAACGCCCCAAGGCCCACTGCAAATCCCCAGAACACTCAGAAGAGAAATTCTACCTAGCTAAAGAGAAAAGGGGTACAGACAAAATTGACTGAATGCCTGAATTGAGTGCAATCAGATTTATAGATTCTCCTCCTTCCGGGGCTGCATAACAAGGGGACTGGCCTGTTTTATTCCCAGCAGAAGCCCGGAGAGGCCAGACTGCCACACTGACAGTCAGGCTGCCCACACTGGAGCCTCCTGCTCCCTGCTGCTCCCACGCTTCCTCTGGGGGCCACAATACCAAGATTCCACCCACCATATCCTGCAGAGATCAGACCTCACTGAGTGTACTCAATAAGGTCCACCCTCAGTGAGCCCTGCACCAACACAGGTGTCATCTGGGCTTTTAAAGCTAATAATTCTTATTCCTCCGTTTCTCCCGCACCTGTCTCCCCCGCCCCCGCACCAACTCCTCCTTTTGATCTTGGAGATTGAATCCAGGGCTTCAGACTAAGTCATATCCCAATCCTTATTTTACTTTTTATTTTGAGACAGGGTCTTGCTAATTTGCTAAACTGCCGAGATTGCAGTCAAACTTGTGATCCTTCTGCCTCAGCCTCCCACAGTGCTCAGATCATAGGCATGCACCACCATCCCTGTCTTAAAGATCTTTTAATCTGAATGGACATTAGAAGAAGGCCTCTAACTTGAAAAACAGACAATTTTCCTCTTTACTCCAATAAGCTATACACCATCTAACCAGACAAAATAAATATGTAAAGTTAAAATAAATATGTAAAGTACTTTGTCTCCTTTAAAAGATATTATACAATTAATTCTGCTGGCTGACTTAACTAAAATACCTTAAAAGGTCATACCCACATTATGCATAATCACTTCTTTCCATCCTAACTGTATCTGGGCAGAAAAACAGAGGTGTTTTGGTTTGGTTCGGTTTTTTGCTAATCCTGGAGTAAAATCCTGCTGCAGAGCAGAGTGAGGGGAAGAGTCAGGGCTTCCAGTGTGCTGTGCAGGGTCGGGCATCTTGAAATGGAGCCTGAAGGGCCATGGGAGCCCATTCACATCCAAGGTCAAACCTGATCTGGGCTCCAATGTCCACATACAGCACAGCTGCTTTTGCTGTGCAGACTAACTCAGGCCCTTCAGGCACACAACGGAGAAGGGCAATTAGGAGCACAAGCTCCAGAATCAGCCCGAGAGTGAAAAGCACAGCTGCGCATTTACTTCTTGGCCAAGTTCACTCCGACAAGTTATTAAATCTGTGTCAGATTCTCTATCTGAAACTAAGTACAATGCATATAAACTTGAAGTGATCATTAGTAAGCACTTGGTTTTGGGATAGTAGCATGGAGTTACAATGTTGCAGAATCCAATACAGTTAGACACACTAATCTGAATCTAATCACTCAAATGCCAACTACTGTTCTCCTGTCAACACAAAATAACCTGCTGTCTGTCACTTGTTACGAATTACTTAACTACATTGAGTTTCCTCATCTATAAAATGAACAGAATACTTAAAATAAGAATTAAAATCAATGTAAACTAACATCTGACAAAAAAAGTCTAAGTCAAATAGCTTCACCACCAAAGTCTATCAAACATTTAAAGAATTAATGCTAATACTTCACAAAGTCTTTCAAAAACACAGCCGGGCGTGGTGGCACACACTTGTAATCGCAGCACTTGGTAGGCTGAGGCAGAAGGCTTGCCATAAGTTCAAGGCCAGTCTGGGCTACAGAGTGAGTTCAAGGACAGCCTAAACTACATAGTGAGACCCTGTCTCAAAAAAAAAAAAGGAGGGAACATCACACCAAATTAATTCTATGAGGCCAGTATTACCCTGATTATCAAAACCAAACAAAGATACCACAAGAAAATTGTAGAGCAACATCTCTTATGAATATGGATGTAAAAATCCTCAAAATACTAGCAAACCAAATCCAGCAACATAAAAAGGAATCAAACACAAGTGGGGTCTATCGCAAGAATACAAGGCTAGATTAACATCTGAAAACCAATTAATGTAACATAGCAATAGAGTAAGAAACAAAAATCAAGTGACTATGTCAGACCCAGACAAAGAATTTGATAATAACATCCTCTCATTAAAAAACACTCCAACAAAGAGGACCAGAAGGAGCTTCCTCAGTTTAATAAAGAGCATCCACAAAAATATCACATCTAACACAATATTCAGTGATGAATGATGCTTCCTCACTTCACTCAAAATGCAGACAGTGA